TTTCGCTTCGGAATGCTCGGGTCACAGTTGAGTCTACTAAAGCCGATATCATGCTGGCTGCTCTTGACGTGGAGGTGCTTGGGACTGTTAAGGACATCATTTCCTTAAATCCAGCTCCACAGGACATTTTCAAAAGGCTCAAGGAACGGATCATTAAAACATTTTCGGTTTCAAATGAGGCAAAACTGAGACAGTTATTGAGAGGGCAGGTTTTGACAGACGGTAAGCCATCCTTAATATTAAGTAGGCTCCGCAACCTAAATGTCGGTAACGCGGTTGATGACGCGGTCCTTAAGACGCTATTTTTAGAGCAGCTGCCTGAACAACATCGGGGTATCGTTATGACAAATCAAGCCTCACTTGAAGGCATGGCTGAATTAGCTGACCAACTTGCGGATATCTCGGGTGCTTCTTTAGGCAGTTCTCAAATTTGCGCTGTTAACACGGAAACTTCCGCCTCTCAGGCACAAATTCAAGCATTGATCGATAGTGTAAAAGAACTAACGGTAAAGGTAAACGCCATCGAGCAAAAATCGCGTTCGCGTTCTAAGGGTAGGGACAATTCTCGCGCGCGGGGTAAATCCGAAAATAAAGAGAAACCCAATTTGTGTTACGCGCATATTAAATACCCTGACAAACCAACGTCATGCCGAAGTTGGTGCGCGGAGTACGTAAACTTTAAAGCAAAAAACTAAGTGCGCCTCCCCGCGCAGAGACAGTTGGGGAGGGTCTTAATGCATCCCGTCGTCTCTACATTCGTGATAAAAAAACAGGTCAATATTTTTTAGTCGATACGGGCGCAGACATTTCTTTAGTTCCGGCTGATTTAAAAATTAAACATGCACCAGCCAAGTTAAAACTTTTTGCGGCCAACGATACGCGCATAGATACCTACGGCGAATCGTACCGCGAGTTGGATTTGGGGCTACGTCGACCCATTAAGTGGAGTTTTTGCATTGCGGCTGTACCGTACGCTATTATCGGTGCAGATATTTTGAATCATCACGGATTAATAGTCGATTTAAAAAAACGTCGAATCATCGACTCGACAACCGGTAGTTTTTCGTTAGGAAATTGTAGATCTGCAGCAATACAGTCAATTCATTGTTTTAACCCGAACATTTCGTTTGCACAATTGTTGTCAAAATTTCCCGAAATAACCGGCGCATGTGCATTGCTACCCCCGGAAAATCGAAACGTATTTCATCATATTTTAACTAGCGGTCCACCGATTGCTGAGCGCGCGCGTAGACTCACGCCGGAAAAATTAATGCATGCCAAGGCCGAAATAAAAGCGCTTGTCGAAACGGGTATTTGTCGCCCGTCAAGTAGCCCTTGGGCCAGCCCGGCACAAATGGTAATAAAAAAAGACGGTACGTGGCGTCTGTGCGGAGATTATCGACGGCTAAACGCTGTCACAATCCCTGACAGATACCCTACACCTCACCTACATGATTGTTCGTTAAACCTAAGCGGTAAAATAATGTTTTCGTCGTTAGACTTGCAAAAGGCATATCACCAAATTCCAATGGCGCCGGAAGATGTCGAAAAAACCGCGATAATAACTCCGTTTGGATTATACGAATATTTGTATATGACCTTTGGCTTACGAAATGCTAGCCAGTCTTTTCAACGGTATATAAATCGAGCTTTAGGCGACTTGGAATATGTATTCATTTACATTGATGACATTTTAATTGCGTCGTCATCTTCTGACGAGCATGCGCATCATTTACTTACGGTTTTTCAAAGACTAAAAGAATTTCACTTACGCCTAAACGTGGATAAATGTGTTTTTGGGGTACCGGAACTTGAATTTTTGGGTTATTTAGTGAACTCAAGGGGCATTCGTCCTACTGCCGAGAAAGTCGAGGCTATAAAAAGGTTCGAGAGGCCAACAACGGTCGCGGCCCTCCGCCGATTTCTTGGCATGTTAAATTTTTATCGTCGATGCATTCCTGGTGCCGCAACAACTCAGGCGCCACTAAACGCCTACCTTGTGGGTGCTGTAAAAAACGATAAACGGGAAATAACGTGGACTCCGGAGGCCATTCATGCGTTTGAGAGAGCGAAATGCGATTTAGCAAACGCAACCTTATTGATCCACCCTCGTATTGATGCGGAGATTCGGGTAGTAACTGACGCGTCGGACTTTGGAATGGGGGCGACTTTAGAGCAAGCTTCGGGCGACAGCTGGGAGCCATTAGCATTTTTTTCTCAAAAATTTTCGTCTGCCCAAACCAAGTACAGCGCATATGATAGGGAACTCACCGCAATCTATAACGCGATCAAACATTTCAGGCATTTTTTGGAAGGGCGCGATTTCAAGGTCTACACCGACCATAAACCGTTAATTTTTGCATTCAAGCAACGTAGTGATAAAGCGTCGCCGCGACAACTTCGCCAACTTTCTTTTATTGCTGAATTTACTACTTATTTTGTTCATATGGCTGGTTCTGAGAATATAGTAGCCGACTCGTTGTCCCGCGTTGACGCCCTTCGGTTGCCCTTGGAATTTAATTTAAACGAACTTGCCGAACAACAAGTGGCTGACGAACAGTTGGCGGCCATTCGCGACTCACAGGATTATCCTTTGAAACTTAAAAGGATTCAATGGGGACCTGACAATGTCGCGGTAGATTGTGAGATTTCGGGAGAGGCAATTCGACCGTACGTGCCTAAGACTCTTCGCGAAAGAATTTTCCGCCTGGTTCATGGCCCAGCTCACCCTAGCGCGAGAATAACCGACCGTCTTATTCGTCAAAGATATGTTTGGCCGAATATGCACCGAGACATTGGGGCGTGGTGCAAGATTTGCGTAGATTGTCAAAAGTCGAAGGTAACTAGACATGTAAAGAATCTCCCAGATCATTTTGTCGCTCCAGATGGTCGTTTCGATCAGGTTCATGTGGATATTGTTGGCCCGTTGCCACAATATGACGGTTATGCATACTGCTTAACAATGATTGACAGATTCTCGCGGTGGGTAGAGGCGATACCAATTAAAGATATGTCTGCACAAACAGTCGCGCGCACATTTTTTGACACGTGGATATCCAGATACGGCGCGCCTAAATGTATAACGACAGACCAGGGCTCGCAATTTGAATCGAGATTATTTCACGCGCTGTTAAACCTGATCGGTACTCAACGGATTCGCACTACCGCGTATCATCCCCAAGCGAACGGCTTAATCGAACGCTGGCATCGCGTTTTTAAAGCGGCTATAATGTGTCACACCGAAGGAAACTGGGTGCGCACACTTTCCACGGTTCTGCTAGGTTTACGAGCGCATACTCGGTCAGACACCGGCGCATCTCCAGCAGAATTTTTGTTCGGAACCACTCTACGATTGCCTGGTGAATTCTTCCTGCCAGAAGATATAACACCAGACCCAAATTTTTTCATAGAAGAATTTAGGGAACATATGCGCCTAGTCCGGCCGGTTCCGACCGCGCATAAAAATAAAAACCGAATCTTTTGTTTCAAAGAGTTACACAATTGTTCACACGTCTTTCTGCGCAACATGGTAAAAAAAGCTCTCGAACGTCCTTATTCCGGCCCGCACAAGGTTGTACGTCGTGTCTCCGATCGCGTATTCGAGATCGACATAAATGGTAAGATTAAGGCGGTGACTATCGAACTGTTAAAACCTGCCTTCTTTGTGCCCGAAGACATTGCTGATGAAACAAGCACCTCGACGGCGACTATTCAGCCAGCCTTAAGAACATATTCACGAAAAAATGTAAAGCAGGTGACATTTGCACCCACTACCAAATAAAGGTCTTTGCTTGCATTGAGTGTCCAACGTTTGTTCCTACTGTTTGTTGTTCCTGTAAATATTATTTATTTTAAGTGCAATTCACGTCAGTGTGATTTCAGATGTTTGTTCAATAAAGTTGATTGAGGAATATAGCACGTTGTTAACAAATTTGTTGTTTTTATGAAAAGTTTTAACATGTATTAGTTTAAGTAGTTTTGTTTTGTATACTTTAATATTTTTGTACTTTTAAATATTTATCGCTATCACTAGGAGGGGAGTGTGTGGGGGTAAAGCTTCCACCTCTCTCCATTTCAAGCCAAGCGCATGCGCAGCGAGAAAGAGGCAGTACTGTAAATACCTCGGTCACATAGACATCGCGATTAAGTATTACCATTGTAATCAACCAGAAAATAAAGTTTTTGTGATTGTTATCTTCGTGTATCATTTAAATTGAAAACGTGGGAAATAGAGTGCTTAAATCCCCACAAAATTGCGTGAGTCACTCCATCTAGTTCCTGGAAGTGAAATTTGGAATTTACACACATGTATTCTTGCTTGCATAACACAGAAATTAAAAGTGAAGGGGAACAAATTAAATATAATATAATTTGTTTTTTAAATTATTGAGTCAATCACTGCCTATTATAGGTACCAATGGTACCGTACCATAAGTTAAAAGAGTTTTATTAAAAAATCAAATGAAAAACATATTTTTTTAAACTTTCCAAAATAATTTTTCAAAAAGAAATATTAGGGTATCTACCTACTTAAAATATTATATTATTATTATTATTTTATTCATATTTTTTAGAATATGCATTTTAGTTAAACTATATAATTGACATACAATAAACACTTTTATTCAAGAATTTCTTTTAAATTTTATTTTGTAATCAAAAAGTTACTATTTAAAAAAAAAAATATTTCCCATTATTGTTTTTTTATATTTGGACGTTTCTTAAAATTTGCGATTTTACTTTCCTTAGAAAACGTTAAACCAATCAGAACATGTTATCTCAACTGCACACTAGATAGCAACAGAGAATGGTGTGATCTGATTGGTTAGTTTTGTCTTCTTTGCAATAATAATTAAACCAAGTTGTATTACTTTTAAAAACTTTTTCCTATACCTATTTGAAAGAAAAAGGTAAAAAAATGTATAATTACATCTGTTATTACAATATTTAAGAGGTAGCTTCTTCATAAACTTATTATCAATTAAATAAACTTTTATTAAAATAAAATTTAAACCAATAATTAGTTTACCTTAACTTAAAATAAAAAATATCTTACATCACAATTAAATATTAGCAATTCCAGATTTCTCCATCTGCTCAATTAATGTCTTTAAATTTGTGTCAAACAATTCACACCTAATTGGCATCTCCAATGAGTAAAAAGGATTTTTCAATGCATAATCAGCATAAATTTCATAAATCTTCTTTAATAACAACTCGATACCAGCCTGATGGGGATCAGCTATTATCATTAACTTAACACCTGTTAATGTTTGAAAACAGTACAATCGGAAGGTATCAGCTTCTAAAACTTCAATCCCTGATGATTTTGGTTCAGGACTCAGCTGACTTGCAATGGCAAATAAAGGGTAAAACATACTGGCCAAGAATATTTTATCGTTTGTTGTCATTTTAACTCTACCAAATTTAAGGTTTATTGGGTAGTTTTCGGGATTTTCTATTACTTCCATTGCATCTCGACCATCATCCAACTGCCCCCCTGTCACTGGTATACCATTTATTGCATATAAAATATTCCCAACTAAAAAACAATTTTAAAACACCATAAATCATTAATATTCATTTCTATACCGTGTAGGCCATCCCTTTGCCCAAAATCCACCAAAATTTTCTTGTTTTCAACTTTTAACTTGATATCCAACGGATAAGAGAACGTTTTTTCGCATTCAATTTTGGGGACATTATTTTCATGATTAAAAATAAGCCCCCCAGACTTTGAAACTATGTAAATACCGTAAATTACCATTTTTTCATCAATTTATAACCTAATAGATTTCATTGTTGTTTGACAGCTGTCAAAAACCATAGAAGTAGAAAATGTAGGTTTTTACACAATTGTGTGTATTGTGGGTTTTTATTTTGTATGTCTACGGGAAATGTCAATCAAAACCTAACCTCACATTGTTGTTGTTGCCAGTTCTGTCAAGATTTTATACAAAAATATGTCGCATTCGTTAAATGACTACATAAAAACCCTTAAGCAGAAAAGTATGAATCGTCCGCCTGGCAAATACAAGAAGAAACTAATATATTTAAAACAATTAATAAGAGAATACGTCCATGTAAGCAAACGCTATGAAAATGCTTCTATAAGCTAACAAATCCATTTTCAGGAGAATGCAGCGTTGGTAGACGAGCTTGAAGAAGTGCAGATGAAAATAGTGATCAGAAAAGAAGAGAGAAAATTCTTATTAAGAAAGTTGTGCGAGTATGAACCTCAAATTTTATTGGAAGTGCAAAATGCAGCTGCTAAACATGGGGGAGTGCCAAACCATGTTACACAAGCTGATAGCAAGAAGAGTAGAAAAAGACCACATGCTGATTCGTATGGTAAGTACTTATTAGTTTTAAGAGTTTAATTTTAAATCAATTAACAATAATAATATAGGACTAATTAACTTGACTTATAAACTCTAGGTCGCAGGCAATCATCTAAATCGCGGAAATCATCCTCCTCATCAAAGAACAGGAAAAAAATCGTACAGCCCATACCCTTGGATAATACTGGAAGACCAGTTTTCCCCATAGAGTTAGGGCAGTTGACGATACATTCTCTAGGAGATGTTGTATGTGATCGCATGGAATTTCATTGTGAAGAGGCAATTTACCCTGTTGGCTATGTTTCAACTAGAATCTATGGAAGTTTAAAGGACCCCACAAGAAAGTGCATGTACACATGTAAAATATCTGATGTAAATGATATGCCAAGGTAAGAGAATCACTTTAAAAGTGTATTAACAGTTAATTTGTTCTTTTTTTGTAGATTTGAGATAGCTGCAGATGACAACTGCCCAGCAATAATTGGAGACACACCAGATGTATGTCATTCTTTACTATTGCAAAGAATAAATGATTCTCTATCGTTAAATGTCGTTAGTACAAGACCTAGAGGAAACGATTTCTTTGGTTTGACGCATCCGACGGTTTTAAATTTAATACAAAGTTCTCCAGGAACTAGAAAGTGTACTTATTATAAGTGGAGTAAATTCGAGGTCTCAAAAACTGGGGATCCACATGCAGAATTCACAGATGCAGGTTTAAATTTTGAATACTTACAGAGGAGTATAAGCTTTTGTAAATACAAAATGGCGCCCGATGTACTGCAAAAACCCGATAATTTTTTAGATAGATTTTAAGAATGAGGTACCAATAAAGTAATACACATTTTAATTTAAAAGATCAGTCATTTATTTTACCTAAATACAAAATATACAAAAGTATAATAAATATAACAGAACAAAAATAAAAAATTATGTACAGAAACTATCCATTTATCAAAAAATAAGCTTAGATATAGAAGAATAATGATTTCAAAGTATTAACAATAATTACCTAAAATATTACCTAGTTACAAGCTCCCATTTATACCAAATATAAAGTGTACAAAAACTTTTTATTGTACACTCAACTTGCCAAAATATATAAAATGTCATTTAAAAAATAAAAAATCCAATCATCTATGCATAGAGCCCTCACTAAATAAATCACAAATATATTTTTCAAAAAATAACATTCACCTATAAATATTTATTATTTGTTTTGTTTGCTATCTACATTTTATGGTTCTTTCATCTTCTAGTTGGGGTTGAGGTTGAACTCCTGGGTGGATTGTAATTTGTTGGTTTTGTTTGAGCTGCCACACTATGCTTGAAAATTGCATTCGATATGTGTATCACAGGTGCAAAGAAATGTAGAGAAAAATCACTAAAAATTTATAAAAAAAAAATTTAAAATTGTATTAAAATAAAAATGATTTTGTCACCTTGAATTTACAAGGGGATTGGCCCCAGTTGCGCTTACTATAAAGAATGGAAAAAGCACAGCAAAAACTCCACCACTAAAAAAGATGTAAAAAATATAATATATATAATATACAGTGCACTGTATTATGCCTGTATGTTTTTTAAAACAAATAGGAGTGTTCTTGAATAAGTTTTTTTAATTAACAAACAAGATTTAAAAATTCCGGAAAAATTGTTTGCCCGTTTTTTTCATGACTTTGTCCAGTTCGTTATTTTTAAAATTTAAAATTAAATGTATTAATAACTTTAAAGTATATCAAATTAATGATATCTTTGATAAAAGCAAAAATGCTTTGGATAAATTAAATACTCCTGAAGATTATAGTGTTTTAAATATAAAAAAATTGTACTTTATATTCTGCTTGCCTGGATTGAATAATATTTGGAGGCCAGAGAGGGGTTGTTACAGTGAAATCATTCATTCAAATAAGAGTAAAGACAGATATCAATTGTTTGTCATATTACAATTAATTAAGTTAAAAGTAGAAAACAGATCTTAAAGAAAGTGTTATAAATATGAATAGTCAATAGATAAGTCAGATGCAAGGTAATCAATTTTTTTTTAAATAAATAGGTTACAGTTAGAAGTTACATCTTTTATTTTTATTATTTTATTTTGTTTTTTTATTCTTTAATAGTATATTATGGATCAAGTTTATAAACGAGGTGCATACTATACTTTTTCTACTAAAAATACCTATTATTATCTTAAAATGATTTAAATCAAAAATTTATATAGAGCGCCATCTATGAAACAATGGGGGAATCTGTGTGTCACCGTCAAATGTCAAATTTTTATATTTTATAAACACAATTATAAAGGTTATAAATCGAAATGTATTTCTTGAAAATTGACAGTTTTTCACAGTGAAAGTAAAGAAAATGTTTTATGAGCACTTTACAGTGGAGTCCGTGCCCGAATTTAAGTTAAAAAATTTAAAGGTCAGTACAATGTTCATATAAACTTTACAAATATTGGCGTTGAGAAACTATTTAATACTTTTGTATTGAGATAATAAAATAATTTTCACATTTAGTATTATTTTACAATAAAGGCTCTTTATTTTAACGATTGTATGACATTTGACAACTGTCAACTAACTTAAAACTAACTTCAGCCCGTGACTAAAAACCTGTTGCTAACTTCAGCCCGTGACTAAAGCGCCATAAAGCCACAACTTGTCAATGTGTATTTAAAAGGTCACTTAGTGTCATGGAAACATGTACGTTAAAGGGCGTTTTAAAGGTGGGAGTAGAAAAAAGAATAAAAAGACCTTTTTACAATATTTATATTTAAACATTTGTTTTTTTTTAAGTTTACTTACTGACTTGATTTATGTAATAAATATTTTACAAAAAACGTGTATAAAAATAAAATATAAAAACCCTAGCTATTATTATTATTATTATTATTATTTTGCTTAATAATGCTTTGTTTTTGGGATATTATGAAAAAAACGTTTTTTCTATATGCAAACATTTAAATTAGTATAGGTATATATTTTTTAAATAAAATACTTGATTATTGGTCATGAGTCCTAATTTAACTAAAAAAATAAACTATACACATTTATACTCTAAGTCCCTTTAAAAACTATTTTTAACGAAATAAAATAGTTTTTTGGCAAAAATATGTCAATTTTTAAAGTTCAAAGTGATGTTACTTCGATTTTACTGAAATTTAAACACTTAAAAGAATATTAAACATAACCTAGAAACCGACGTTGGATTCATTCGTAATTCTTGGCACATCGTGACGTCACGCGCTCTCTCAAGGTTATAGAGGTGTTTAAAATTTGGCATTTGATAAACGTAGGTTTTTTTTTAATAATAGACTCGTAGTCTACTACTGGCATATTCCAAATATGCAAAAAAAATTGCAAGACCCAACCTCATTGAGAGTGCCCCAAAATTGGCGCCCGCAAAATTGAAGGAGTTATTTAACCAAATTTGTTTTTGTTTACTTTTTCCAATGATAGAATTTCACCATCTTTGATAAACACCTAAATATAGAGTATTGCTTTTAAAACCAAATAACCTCTGCAAATTAAAGAAATAATGTAAATTTTAGGACAAACCCGTTTTGTGTCTAGTTTTTCCCGATTTTTCGAATCTTAAAATCCCCAGTCAGGGCATATTGTCACAGTTTAAAAAACAAATTATTAATATCAAGATATTTTTTACCTTATCATCCAGGAATCACTTAGTTGAGTAAGCACAGCTTGGGGCAATCCAAAACCAATAAAGTAGGGCCAATTATTCTCAATGAAAGTCAATCTTCTATGCAATTCCCATCCCATATTGCACCATTTATATTCAAAAGCATACAAAGCATATAGCATACACATCTGTATCATTGATAGTGTGTAACCTACATACTTAATAGGCAAATAACTTGTCAAAGATGCTTGAATTAAAAAAAGCGTTTGTATTAACAAGCTAAATACAGAATCTGCAACTAGGTTGCTGAATTTTGTGTATTTTGGTCTTCCCCGGACATGTTTGTAAGCTGAATCTGCTATATCCTTAAAGTTTAAAATGTCTTAATTTTTATGAAACTGAATTTTGGTATTTTAGGTCAAAATTTTACAAAAGGAAGAATGTCCACATTTAATTGAAAAAAAAGTGCTCAAAAATAATTCATTCCTCTGGAATAAACTACAAGCTGAAATTAAGGCTTTATTTTATTCTTATGCTTATGATTTTATCTTTTAAATAAACCTTAATCAAATAAAAATTACACAAATAACTTACTTGAAACCAGACAACATTGATGACTTTGCAGACTATATACAAAGGTATAAGATACATAATATTGTACAGCATTCTTGGTAAAAGTATAAAGCTATTATTCTCTCCGATCCAATACTTTAAAACCCTCAGAATAACATAGTCAAATATAAGAACACTGGCTAGAAATATGGCCCCATTTAGGCATCCACAAGACATTGTTTTCATTAATATGGAGTCTCTACAACGTAATTTCTTGATTATACTAAATTTTTTTAATTAATACGAAAATACTCACTCTTCATGTTTGGTTTCTCTTACAGGAGTGGTCTCTTTCGATGTTGATTTTTGTCTAATCAAAACATTTTGTCTGGAAGGTGAATGTCTTAATTTCTGGTTTATTTCTTTATTTAATTTAAAAATCGTTATCATTCCACTCAAACTGTCGTAAAATCCTTTTACGAAGGCGTAAATTATTGCCTGGAAATTGTGTTTTTATATAAGGTAAACAAAGGATTTTAGGTTAACTTACTTTTAAATCCATTGTTTTTGTTGTGTGCACGAATTTTTCTTATATAATCTTACGCTAAAATTCACGAAATAATTTAAAATTTGTTACCAGTTTCGTTAAGTGTTCATTTTAAGCTGACAAAAGTATATTTTGGAGCCACTTATTACGTTTCAAAGTCTTTCTGTTTCACCAAATTTTTACGACTAAAAATAATATATTACGGTAATATATCTAAAATCAACTTAAACTACGAGAAGGGCAATGTTGAAGAAAAACGGTGCCAAAAATAAAATAAAAATTACTTTTTTAATATTTCAACCCGACAACGTTGCCGAGAAACGTCAAAAGTCATGTTGCACACGTGGCAACTATGCAACTGGGAATTTTGCAACCAACGAGTTAAAAAATAAAACGCATTCAATATTTTTTTTCAAGCGTAATTATTAATTTTCATATTATAAGACTATGAAAAAAGACTTTATATTAATACTAGTTGAGTGAGTGCCTAGAAAAGTTTATAAACGAGTTGCATACTATACTGTTTCTACGACAAACACTTATTATTATCTAAAAATGATTTAATTCAAAAATTTGTATAGAGCGACATCTATGAAACAATAGAATTACCAACTTGAAAATGTGTTTTATGTCAAATGTCAATTTTTTTGTGTAAATCAAAATGTATCGCTTGAAAATTAACCGGATATAAAAGGAGTTTTTTACAGTGAAAGTAAAGAAAAAGTTTTATGGTTACTCCATAGTGGAGTCTTTACCCGAAATGAAGTTAATGTAGTTTACTGCCGTCAAAATTAAAAGGTCAGTAATATGTTCATATAAACTTTTTAAATATTGGCGCTGAGAAACTATTTAATACTTTTGTATTTTTGTGTTGAGAATAAAATAATTTTTACATTTAATATTATTTTACACTTTATTTTAACGATTGTATGACATTTGAGAACTGTCAACTAACTTCAGCCCGTGACTAAAAACCTGTTGCCAACTTCAGCCCGTGACTAACAAGTCAATGTGTATTTAAAAGGTCACTTAGTCGGCATTACAGAACAATGCGGTCGAAATGCTCCATTTATTTACTAAAAATACTCCTAGATGGGGCTACAACAATTTAAATCCACATACTTCCAGAAGTACATACTTCCAGTGGTATGTGTTTAAAATCACATACTTCCAGAAGTATGTAATTTAAATTTCCTCAAAAGCCATAGACAAAGGAAGGGAACACAAAAACAGAATAAAACATAAAAAATATCAAATGTCAAAGTGATACTTTTCAAAGTGGATCAGTACAAAAAACGGTTGTTTAAATTAAAAGCAAAGTATTTTTGAAAATTTTTATTAACAGTAACTTGCAATACAATAAAACGTTATACATGCAAAAATAGCATCTTAATTCTTTTGCAAACGGTATATAAAATTTTTACGTTTAGTACTTTTACCTTCTAAGCCATAAAACTGTTCTTGAAATTCAGTTTATAAGCTTAAATATAACTAGATAATTAATTTTTATTACTTATGTATAAGGCAGAAGGATGTATTTAAAATAATAATACTAAAAAAACATTGACACAATAAAAAGCGTTGAACTAAGAAGTAGGTACAAAAATGTAAAATAATACTTTTTTGAATACAATGTGTACAAAAATAGATAAGTAATTTACTAAAGAAATAATAAAAATAAAGCATCATTAAAAAGTTTAGAAAATTGCTGATTTTCATGATATGTTTTCCATAAAGTAAATTTGTTTTGATTTATTTGTGAATAGTCTAGTCTAGTATTTGTGCTGTCATATACCAAAAATCGCATAATCTTTGGCATAAGGAACTATTTGGCGTCTGTTTGCAATATTGCCATAGCAACCTAACCTAAAATTTGACATATGCGTAACGTCACTGGCCATCTTGTGGTGTCAAAAACAAACTACTGTTATTGTTGCATGTGGGAATGTAGTGGAAGACTAGCATGGAAAAAGATCAAGCAAAAAACATCCCCATTTCGAAAATAATCATTATTCGTAGACTTTGATTTTGTCGTAGTCAATTGGGGTTAAGTCGCGAGGTTTTCGGGAATATTTAATGCCGATTTCGTCGGCGACTTTCTCGATTACGTCGAGTGCGTGGTCCAGTTCCTCTTTGGTGTGCCCTGCGGAAAGGCAGATTCTTATCCTGCCTTCCAATAAGGGCGTTGCAGGATAACCGACTCCCACAGTGGCGATTTTTTCCTTTATCAAGGAACGAACCATCGATCTAAAATTATTACAGCGATATTTGAAGTTACACTTATTTTGGAGCTTAACGTTTGTGGCGTAAGAAATGAGTGGCTGTGATAATTAAGAAAGAGATCAAAATAAATAAATAAATATTTTAATTTCTCTAAAATTGTAAAATGTAGAATATTTATAAAATATAAAAAAAACTTTACTTACACAATATTGGAGTACAAGTAGACCAATATAGGCACCACAGGCGAATCTTCGTTACCGTGTATTATAATTCCCATTTGCTCCAGACGTAAACGGAAATACCTGGTGTTTCTGGCTAGAGCTTCGATTCTTCTTTGACCTTCTTTGGTACCGTCTCTGCCCATTAGGATCTTCAAAACCGATATGATTTGCGCAGCAAGCGCTGGAGGCATGGCCCAAGCGTGTTTGGACGCGAAACTGTGTTTTCTCAGGTAAGTTATCAGCTTCTACAACAACAAAATACTATATTGTGCAACAAGTTTTTCAAACGGCATTTTAGTCACGATTTACGAAGTTTATATAACGAATTGCACATTGTATTTTTTCTACGACGAGTTGCATATTGTATTTTTTCTACGACGAACACAAAAGTATCAAAAAAATTATGGCAAATAATTTTCCAAAAAATTAAAAATTGTTAATAAAAAAAGTTGTGATAATTAAAATTTTCGTTTTTTGAGACTATTTGATTTGTTATCATAACAAAGGTCTCCTATTAGATGTGGATTATTTCAGCTTATGAAATAATAAAAGACCACAATCTTTACATTTGTTCAAAGTTACCAGAACACCAAGTAATTTTCATGACAAATTGACAAATGAAATGAAGAAAACAATATTTTAAAACCAATTATAGAAATAAATTGTGTTTAATTTTGCCGTTTTTCATGTGCGGTGCCTGTTGAAAGCACATTAAAATAATAAAATAAAATAATATTAATTTATTGGTGATACAAAAGTAATTGTTTGCGGCAACGTTGCAAATTAAGGGTTTTGGTTGGTAAAAACAGTTGTCAAGTTGGTCGCATTGATTAAAACAAACTAACCTAGTTATAAATCTAATTGTGGTTAGGTATGTATAAATTATTGTAGGTTACATTGTGCAGTTTTCAAGTTGTGTTGTCGAAATTCGTAGTTAAAAATGCAATTAATTTGGCTTTGGTGGTGCTTGGATGAGTAAAATCATATAAAAATGTAGTTAAATATAGGTTGCTTTACGGCCCAGAAGAGAAAGTATTTCTAGCGGATAATAATCTTCGCTTTGAAAAGAATTTATATAATTAAAATTTTTTGTGGACGTAAATGGTGAATAATGTGAAAATAATGTGTGATGTAATATTTATAAAACCAAATTCGTTACTTTTTTACTCCAAAAATGTCCATAAGGCGAGGTACTTTTTCTTCCATTGTGGCATTTGGCATAATTTCATCAAAATGAAGTTTTGCCATCAAAAGGGCTTTTACATTCGAATTCGTTGCTATTATTTTTGGCATAATTATCTTTTTATTTATAATTGACAAGTAAATTACCAATAATAAATACTATTGTCAATTTGACAGTGTCAAAGTATTTAATTAAATTCTTTAGCAGAAGTACCATTTTTAAATACTAAAAATACCTAGTCAAACTGGCATAAGAGTCCAGATAAAAAAAAATGAACTGTAGGCTTTTTTAATTTATGTTTTTTTGTTTTTTTTTCAAGCTTATGAAAATTTTATATTTTAATACTTAAAAGCCTACAAAATTTCATATTAATTAACTTTAAATTAAAAAGCACAAAATATTTTTTTTTTCAAAAATTTTGATTATGCAAAAGTTTATTTTTGATATTTTAAATTCCATTTGCATAATAATTTTTTGTTCCAAATTAAATTGAATTTCAAAATATTTTTGTGTTTTTGTTTTCACCATTTTAATCAGAAGAAAAAATGACACAAATTTGCAAATTTAACCGACTAAATTACTTTTACGTATATTAGATTTTAATTTTTTTTGTCGATTTTAAAATCTTTAAACAATTTGATTGATTGTAAACTTCAGATTACACTCCTTCTTATTCATATTAAATAGATGCTCTATTATTAATTAAAAAGTATATATTAAAAATAAAAATAGATGTTATAATAAGTACATAATTCTTACTTTGTTTCCAGCGATGTACCCTCCAGCCGACCCGAAACTCTTCGTGTAAGTCCCCATAAGAATGTCAATGTCGTTGGGATCGCATCCGAAATAATCGAGGACACCTCTGCCGTTCTTGCCCATGGCACCGATGCTGTGCGCTTCGTCCAAGTAAAGGTAGGCCTTGTACTTCTTTTTTAGCGCTATGATTTCGGGCAAACGAACAATCGTGCCCTCCATGCTGTAGACGCCTTCCACGATTATTATGATCTTCTTCCACGGCTTGTAGTCGCCTTTGCGATCCTGGCCGTAGTAGATAGCTTCTTGGAGAAGATTTTCCAAATCTTTGACGTCTAAAATCACGATTGGGCTGATTTAAATCAAGATAAAAATCATTACGTAATTTAAATCATTATTTTGATTTAAATTAAGATTTTTTAAATCTCGTTTTAAATCAGTCTATGACAGGGTTGGCAAAAAGATGTTTTTTTAAGGAAATAGTACATATACTAGTTTGCATAAATAAATTTTTTATTTGGACTGCGGCAACGTTGCAAATTTAGGGTTTTGGTTGGTAAATACAGTTGTCAAGTTGGTCGCATTGATTCAAACAAACTAAGCTAGTTATAAATCTAATTGTGGTTATGTATAAATTATTGTAGGTTACATTGTGCAGTTGTCAAGTTGAGTTGTCGAAATTCGTAGTTAAAAATGCAATTAATTTGGCTTTGGTGGTGCTTGGATGAGTAAAATCATATAAAATAAAAGTAGTTAAATATAGGTTGCTTTACGGCCCAGAAGAGAAAGTATTCCTAGCGGATAATAATCTTCGCTTTGAAAAGAATTTACATAAAAGAAATTAAAATTTTTTGTGAACGTAAATGTTGCCCAATGGTGAATAATGTGAAAATAATGTGTGATGTAATATTCATAAAACCAAATTTGTTACTTTTTTACTCCAAAAATGTCCATAAGGCGATGTACTTTTTCTTCCATTGTGGCATTTGGCATAATTTCATCAAAGGAAGTTTTGCCCTCAAAAGGGCTTTTACATTCAAATTCGTTGCTATTATTTTTGGCATAATTATCTTTTTGACAAGTAAATTATCAATAATAAATATTATTGTCAATTTGACAGTGTCAAACTGGCATAAGCCACCAACCTAACAAAAAAAACACGAGTCCAGATAAAAAAATTAACTGTATTTATGTCAATTAAATATAAAAAACAGTATACTTAATTAAACCTTTGGATAATTATTATTTTATTTAACAATCAAGCTTTAATACAGTTTACAACTGATATTCATAATTTCACTTACAGATGGCGGCACCAGTAAAAATAGGTAATAATTACATGCGCAGTTTTCTTTTTTTTAATGTTTTCCGTTGTATTTTTAGGTTTCTTTATAATCTATGATTAAACTAATACACTAATTAGTTAACATGAGTTTACCTAAGAAATTGAGTGGTTTTCAAGAAAGACAGGCTAGAAAACGTGTGTTTTTCAAAAGGAATAATATATTTATTGTTGCACCATTGAATTTGCCATTAATTTCTATTTAATTTTAGTACCCACCTAAGTTATATCAAGATATCGTTTTACATACAGTTTCAAACGGTTTTTAAAACATGTTTGAAACTTTGTATTAAATATGCCAACCCTTATCATGCTATCATTTTTAACAAACTAAAGTTTGTTATAAACGTTTTTGTTTTTTTTTATTGACAACATAAATTTAGAATGTAAAAGTTTATGTCAATTTTAGGACATAACACTTATTTCATGAATTATATATATTAGAATTAGAATTCCTAAAATAATTTAAAAATTAAATCCAAATCAAACTAACGTTGTAAAGAAAATAAAAATAATAGAAACTTACCGTTGTGCTTAAAAACTTTGACAGTACCTAGGGGGGTCTTGATACCGACAATAATACTGGCGTGGTTCTTTTCGTCGCTAATAACGAGCGTACCCTCGGAGATCAAGGTGGGTAAATTGAGGGTATTAGTAGCGTAGCCCATGCCGAACGTGATGGCGTCATCGACTCCCAAAAATTCTGCGGTTAGCCGTTCGAGCTCGTCGTGCAGCGCGCATGTGCCGTACTGTTGACGCGTACCGCCAGTGCTGATGCCGTATTGCCGGATCGAGGCGATAGCCGCTTCTGCGCACGGTCCGGACGATTCCGCGAAGCCTAGGTAGTTGTAGGAGGCCAAGTTCAGGCAGTTTATCTTGTTGCCAGTGAATCTAAGTAATTACGAGGGTTATTATATAAGTATAATTTAAATATTTTACTTTATATAATATCTATACATTTTTAATATTTAGATTACATGAATTGTGAAGTAGTCAATAAAATTGAATGATTTTATACGTGGAATACCCAGCAACATTTAAATTATTTGAATTTGAAACGACCGCAATTTAAACTAATATTTATAGCTAGATGATTGGCTCAGAACCATACCTGAACTAATTTAGACTCACGATTGGCGTTAGCCTTGTTGTCTCGTTTTATCATAGTTGTCTCCTTCTCTCGTATTAGCATACGCGAGGCAGGCACGCCTACATCCAAGGAAATAAGCAGGAGTTGTGGCAACACTGTTGCGGAATTTTAGATAATTTTTACTTCACACGTTTTTTAAAATTCAATAATAAATGGTATTATTTTTCCTATAATAAATCGATTTAATCGAAATTATATTTCTATTCTAAAATAAACATATTTTAACACTATCGCCATCTTGTAGCCATCACAGTAACCAATAAAATAAATACAGATTCCTTCTTTGGGTTTGTTTTGGTTATAAAATTCTGAACTGTTTAAAGAACAAATCTGTGGATATTTTCGAAATATTTTGTTTATTCTTGAATTTAGTCATTATGGATATTACGGTGAGAAATTGTACCGATATTGTTGACCTTCACGTGGTTCTTGCTGAACAATGAAATATTATATATTATTAAGACAAAAATGAGGTTTATTTAAAATAAACGTCATTTTTACAATAAAATATATTTCATTGAAAAAGTAGAGGATTCCTTCCCCACCACAGTCTAAGTTTTTTACTTAGTTTTAAGTATAGGTTGTGAACTGCGACGTCAGTTTTTTTAAGTTGGGTTTAAAAAAATTTCTTCGCCTTTAAATGAGGGCAAAACCCTATGACTATAATGATGGTTTATGCATACAAATTTAAAACCAAAAGTTCTTTTTTTTGTTAAAAACTTGTTAAAAGCTAGTTAAAAACAATGAAAATTGTCTTTTGTCATTTAGGTATTAGGAGTGGAAGTGGGAGAATAATTTTTTCGTTTTCGTCTTTGGTTTTTGTAATTCAGCAGTAGATTCTTCGCGAAGTTTGCTCTGAATTATTAATTAAAGGGGTAAAATCATTATTTGTTTTGCATTTAACTAAAAGTGTTTTCTTATAAAAAATTCTCTTTAAGAACTAAAATAAAAAATAAAGCAAATCTCTTGAAAACAAATTAAAATAAATAAATCAATTCTCTTAAAACAAAACTAAAAATCAAACTCTTAAAATAAATGTAAATAAATAAAAAAAATTGAATAATATTTTTAATTGTGAGGCATTTTATAAAAACTTTTGGTTAGTAGATTTATATCTGAAGAGTTGATAAAACGGAATATTTATTAATTTAATTGGAGCAATATAATAGTTGTGTGTTTTACATACAACTTGAACAGTTGAGTGATGAGTATTTTAATGCTTGAACTCTGAGCCACTTTGAACACAAATATTGAATCAAACTAACACTTAATTAAGAGAAGATTGAATTTTGGAAAAATCAATGGAGTCATTAGGATTTTATACGGATCAATATTAATATTCTACAATTGTAGAAGCTAGTTTTTCATGAAAATCTGACTATACCTTTTAAAATCTTTTGTTACTTAATAAAATTTAGTTTTGATGCAAGCTACACACAACTTTTAAATTTTAATTATATCAGGATTCAATAGTAACTGTCTCTTTTAAGTCCAGAAAATAGGCTTTTTCTGTAAGTTTGGAAAAGCTTTTATGGACAAATTATCCAAGTTTCTATGTAGGAGTTTTTTAAATTTAATTTAATTTTTGTTAATCTTGTAACAGTATAATTTACTAGAAATACTAATACCTACTAATGTATAAAAAATAAGTCGCTAAAAAACTTTACATACTCAAATGTCCATCCACAGTCATTGGTGACCCTTTCCTTTAAAACCACTTTTGACCCAGGCACACTCGAAATGGGGTAATTCCAACAATCTCTGATTCTTCTGTAGACATATCTGGAGTAAAACGCAGAAAATCTATCAAATATTGCAGGGTATCCATCTCTGTTTTCTTCCTTAACAATTTTGGGCGGGTAAAGGGCTTGCGATAAATATCCAAGAAACATAAGAACGTAAAAACTAATCATAGTCAATGCGTATTTGATTAAAGTTGGCGGTTCAAAGGACTCCCGGATTTCCCGCTGTTTTTTTGTTGTTTCAATGCCATTTTGTTTTAAAACACCCTTAAAATAATAATAAACAAAATTTATAACACAAATCAACTGGTTTAGTTTTATTAGCTCATTTATGTAACATTTATTTATATTTTTATTAAGCAACAAAATATGCACCTAAATTTTGTTTCTTTAGTGTTTTTTTAATCAATTTTTAATTTAGAATATTTGCAATGATAAAATAACATTGATATTTTAAAATTTGTAAAATTCCCACATAAAATAAAATAAATATAAAATCAATTTTATTTTTATTCCATTCCTATATTGTAGGCTTATAATGTATAAATAAATAATGTTATCAAAGGTTATCAAGGTTTGCTTGAAAATTTTGAGAAATTTAATAATCAATTAAAGAAAACATGAAGGTAATTTATATTTTAAATCAGGTTGCATGAATATAAACAATGAGCTATGTGGAATACATATTAAAGTATATTATAACTATAGAATATATTAATTTTATAATCAATACTTTAATAAAATATTTACAAACCAGCCATTTATTTATTAATATTTGATGAATAGCAGATAATATTTTCAGTGTAAGTATATGAACCTCTTAAATTAAAATTAAATTTAACTATCTAAACCAATTTAAATACACACATGTAGAATTGCCATTTAAAAACCTTATTTATCCTTGACTGTTCCTTAGTAGCCACCATAAAAACAATTTACAATTTTTATGATACAATTGTTTATGTTAGTTTTAAATATTTGAATTTGAGTAGAATATGGGTTGGTTTGTTTGTATGACAAATATTTATTTACTCATAAAGTATATCAATTAAAGTATTTATCCTCAATAAACAAATACATCTCAGAAGGTAATACTATTAAAATTACTCACATTTTTTATAATTCCCTGCTTTTTTAAACCTTCTTCATCAGAGGACCCCTACAATAACAAACAGATAAAATAATGTAACAAAGTTTTATTGCAAATTATTACTAGGACATGTCCATTGGATCCAGATCCACTTGCAAACCCATTCATGGTTTTAAATTCCTATAAACACGAAAATTGTTAAACCTTTTAAATTTGAAATAAATCTATGAAAAATTAGAAAAAAGTACAATTATTTAAAACTCTTACCCTGGCTTTTTTGTTGTATGTGGACCCAACATCACATTTTTGATCAATTTCCACCCCATTTAATAATTCTGTAACGCAATCAGCTGTACCCTGGCTCATTTTTGTGGACATTCTAACCTGGTTTGTTCCGCGATTCTAACCTATATTTAGGCGCATGCGGAGTTGCGGCGTCGCAGGATTTCTCGCTGTTGGTTGCCGCTAGTCGCATGATGCTGCGTTGCCACACCAGACAATAATTCCCAGAACAACTTATGCAACTTAATTACGTTTGTTGTTTGGGATAAAAACAAATTGCTTTGGTTTTTATTTATTGTTAATCTCAGTATTTAATTCAATTAAATGTTAATAAAAGTGAAGACATTAAAGAAATAGTACAATAAGGGTACTAGTTTGGGTTCGTGGGACACACCTTGTTATGGATCTGGCAACATCGTCGCAGTATTTATACAGTTTATTGCAAAACCCGGCTTTTTTGAAATATGGATAAAAAACAAGTACAACTAGCTAAAAATAGAGGTCAATTCTTTAATAAGAATTACGATTAATATCCCAAAATAGATAAACGTGTTTACAACTATAAAATCAAATTGGATTTTTTGATCGGTGACTCATACGCTCATGATAAGTGGGGATTTTAAATTTGTAAAAAAGTTGAGTTTTCTTCATGGGCGTGCGTTAAGGGGGTAAAAAACATTTTTTAAAAATGAAACGTTAAAAATATTCTGCGAAAGTTTATTGTAAAAACCCAATTGCAAAACTAAATTATGTAAGTGGGTAGTAATTTTTTGTCGAAAAGATGTAGGTATATTAGATAATTTCCTAAAGATGTGTTAATTAGTTAAGGGATCGTTAATGTAAATATCTTGTTCTAAGGTAAATATACGTTATATCATAATAATACCTATAATACACCTATAATATAAAATATACGAGAAATATTTACAAAAATGTATGCCTTAACATAAAAAAGTTGGTCATATTAATGATTAAACACTGCGCTATTGGCGAGAATCCAAACGAATAAACACTTTTAAAATAGTTCGGTGCGCCGGATAGAAAAGTCTATGTGCGCCACTGGCGGGAACCCCTCCACATCTTAAAACATCTGCAACAAAGCAAAATCAACACACACAAAGTTGAGGTTCAGTTTGACGTTTGACAGTATTGTGCCGGTCGGATTGTGTTTCGTTTATTCTTGCATTATTAAGTGCCACAACGCGATTTTTTCAATAAGAAATCATGGATGAATTTGCGTCAAAAATCGGCGACGTTAAAGAGGCGGTAAAAGATGACGTTTCGGAATTAAAAGGGCAAATTAAACGCGAAATAGATTCGTTGGACGATTTCGAACATTTGGGCCACGATTCGAGTCCGCTGAAGGATTTGGGAAAAGAAGTCAGTCGCGATTTGTTAGGTAACATTCAAACCGAGCCTGCTACACGTGATACCTTGGGGGAAATCAATAAAGGGGTTGAAAAAGTCGGCAGTACAGTTACCGACAAACTACTCTCGTTCGAGCCGTTCGCAGGTGCAGAGAATTTGATTTCGGACAAAATGGACACGAATCTATTGGACTCAGGCGATAAGTTCCCTGATCGCAAAGAAGCTGACGACAAGTTGGACAAGTTTCTCACTGAGATGAGCCAGCCCTTCCAGAGTAAGCCGCCCGAAATCCCGGAGGTGCAAGACAAGTACGATTTCGACAATTTCAAGTCGACCACGAAAAATTTCATGGACAACGAACGCGGGCCTTTGGAACCGGCCAAGATGCACTCCAACAACGATTCCATAGACCGCTATTCGGACAGCGAACCAGAGGAGGATTTCACGCCCTCCAAATACGGCTACGTCTCCAAAGAAAACGAACTGCCGGAGTCTTTTGGCTCTACGGACAACTTTAAGCAGGAAACGTTCAAGGATTTCGACGATTTCGAACCCGAACCGCCCAAGAAGGATTACCCGAGACCCAGCGATCCTGCACCGGAACCTCCCAAGGCACCGGAACCGCCAAAGGAGAAAACTCCGGAACCGGTGAAAAAAATCCCGGAACCTGTCAAACCGAAAACGCCTGAACCTGCTGTGGAAAAACCGAAACCGATCGAGATAAAAGCCGAAATTAAACCGAAAGCAGCTGTTACCGATGCCGAAGCTATTTTCTGCAAAATGGGACTTGGTGAGTTGTTCAATTTGAATTCATGCCTGCTTAGCATTAACATTAATCTGAGGTAGCTTGTTAATTTTAATTAAAATAATGGTAAACACGCTTTATACCTACAATTAAATTAAATATTTATGATTAATTACATTACAGTTAGGTACATTATGCGCTAAACAATTTTAGTATCGTGTAAAAACCCTTAATTTTACTGTTAAATACATAATTTTATGTGTGGGAGCGCATGAATGACTAAGCTGATAGAATTAAGTCATATATTTTGTTATTACATAAAGTTCCAAATGATGATATATTTTATATTAAACTGTAATAATTAGTCAGTATTACCAGAGCTCTCGTATGAGACAGTTTGTTGAATTATTGTGCTTTTATATGCATGTACTAGTAATTGTATTAAAGATTAGATTTGTGCGACTAAATATACTACTGCTATCTAAACCAAGTGTTTTAGTGTTCCCTACTCGGATACCACAATTGGCGACTGAGGTAAATACATTAATAATTATTAATAAGTGTTATTCTGTCAATGAATAAATCTAAAACACTATAGTCAATTGTAGAAGCTTAAATGCACAGATAAGATCTAATTATCTAGATCTAAGTTTTTTTTAATTTTTTTTATTTAATTGCTATTATCGTTATTGTTACTTAATTATTCACCTGTAGAATTGTTACACAACCAGAGTGGTAATGGTAGCCTTAATCTGGTTTTATATAAAATTGTAATATACAAGGTGAAGCATTAAATTGCATCAGGAAAACCTATACATTAAATTGTAATATACAAGGTGTTGCATTAAATTGCAGAAAAAAAGTGATTTACATTAAATTGTATTATACAGGGTGAAGCATTAAATTGCATCAGGAAAGCCTTACATTTAATTGTAATATACAAGGTGTTGCATTAAATTGCAGGAAAAAAAAGTGATTTACATTAAATTGTATTATACAGGGTGAAGCATTAAATTGCATCAGGAAAGCCTTACATTTAATTGTAATATACAAGGTGTTGCATTAAATTGCAGGAAAAAAAAAGTGATTTACATTAAATTGTATTATACAGGGTGAAGCATTAAATTGCATCAGGAAAGCCTTACATTTAATTGTAATATACAAGGTGTTGCATTAAATTGCAGGAAAAAAAGGAAGTTTGGTACATTAAATTGTATACTATAATAATATAGTAAATACCAAAACAAATTACATATAAAAAAAAAAAATTAAATTAAAAAAAAAATTAATTTAAATTTACGGAATGTGTAATCTTTCTAGTCAGAGGGATAATTAGTAAATAACGATTAAAATGGCAATAATACAACAGCTTTAAATAAGAACATGATTGTAAGCAATCTGGTTTTTTCTTTTTCAGTCTAAACAAAAATATGGCAGAACCATCGGGCATAAAGCCATTTCTCTGTGAAACAATTGATAAAGCGTGCATCAGAAATGAATGGGACAAGTGGATACGTTCGTTTCAACTATACCTTGATGCGGAAAATATAGTTGATAAAAACAGAAAAAGAAATAAATTACTACATTTAGGAGGAACGCAATTACAAGAAGTTGCTTATAACATACCAGGAGCAGTAGTACCGTATAATGAGGAAGAAAATAATGATGTACTTGAAATTTTGGTAGATGCCCTAACAAAACATTTTTCACCCGTCCAGAACTCATCTTTTGAAAGACATGCGTTTAGGAGCATAAAACCAAAAGAGAATGAAACATTTAATCAATTTCTAGTACGACTAAGACGTCAGGCTGCAAAATGCTCTTTTGGTATAACACGCGAGGAAGCTATTGAAATAAATATAAAGGACAAGATAATTGACAATTGGGCATCGGAGGACCTAAAAAATAAACTTTTGGAAAAAGAACATTCACTAGATGATATGGTCAATTTTTGCCAAATTCACGAGCAAATACTGGAACAATCCAAGTCAATGAATACTCCAGGTACATCCTCAACAATAAATAAAATAAGCATCGGAAATAAACGACATTGTGGTAGATGCGGTCGAAATCACACAACTGACACCAATGAATGCCCGGCCATAAATGCTAAGTGTTTTAAATGTGAGAAACTTGGACATTTTTCGAAATTTTGTAAGACAAGAGCAAACAAGAGGGTTTTTCCTAATACAAGTTCGGCTAAAGGAAATAAGAGATGGAAGCCAACAAAGAGACAAGTAAACTATGTTAATTCAAACGATAATTCAGACGAAGGAGATAATATCAAATCATACGAATGCTTTAAAATCCAAAAAATAAACACAAACACAAAATTTGAAAAACAAGATGAATTAATCGAATGCCAAGTTGGGGGTATACCAATAACACTGCTAATCGATTCAGGGTCAAAAGCAAACATTATTAATGGCCGTGATTGGGAGATACTTCAAAGGAGAGAAGCAACGATATGGAAGCTGGATTCAAAAACCAAAAATTCATTAAAGCCATACGCCGTAGGACAATTGCTAGAAACTCAACATCAATTTGAGACAACGGTTATGACGGCTGATAAAAAACAAGTAGTGACATCATTTTTGGTGGTGCCACAAGGTGAAATATCTTTACTTGGAAAAGATACGGCGAAGCGTCTTGGTGTTTTAAAGCTAGGATTAGGGGTAAACAGGCTTACAAAAATAAAACCATTTTCAAAAATACGAGACATTACGGTAAAATTGTCCATTGATAAATCAGTCAAACCAGTACAACAACCATTGAGACGTATACCCGTAGCTGTCGAAGGGCTTGTAGAGGAAAAACTAGCAGAAGCTTTACAACGAGACATAATAGAAGAAGTCAAGGAATATAGTCCATGGATATCACCAATAGTTATTACATTCAAGACAAGTGGAGATGTAAGAATATGTGTCGACATGCGTAGAGCTAACCAAGCGATTCGACGAGAAAACTTTCCACTGCCAACGTTCGAATCCATTATAGCTAAATTAAGAAATGCAAAATACTTTTCTAGATTGGATCTAGAGTGGGCATATCACCAAATTGAGTTGGATGTAGATAGCAGACCTATTACAACATTTATTACACATAAGGGAATGTTCAGATATAAGAGGTTAATGTTTGGGGTCACGTCAGCTCCAGAAATATTTCAAAGAATATTAGAAACTATTTTAAGCTCATGCCAAAACTGCATTAATTATTTGGATGATGTAATAATTTTTGGACGTACGGAAAAAGAACATGATATTTGTCTAAAGAAAACTTTGGAAGTGCTCAAAGAAAACAATGTTCAACTTAATGAAACAAAATGCCTTAAAAAAGTACAAGAACTAGATTTTCTAGGACACCACTTGTCGCATAAAGGTGTTGACGCAGACAAAAATAAAATAAAAACATTATTAGGATTTCGACCACCCGTTACTAAAGAAGAGGTGCGCAGTTTTTTGGGCCTGGTCACTTACTTGGGAAAATTTATACCAGATTTAGCTACCATCACAGAACCGTTAAGACAATTGACGAAAAAGGATGTTAAGTTCGTATGGTCTAAAGAACATCAACAAAGTTTTGAAAAACTTAAACTAACTTTGTCAAGACCACCAACGTTAAGTTACTTTGACCCTACTAGACGTACCCGACTAATAGCGGACGCAAGTCCTGTGGCACTGGGTGCAGTTTTAATTCAATTTCATGGAAATACGCCTAAAGTCATATCATTTGCCAGTAAGGGACTCTCTGATACAGAAAGGCGGTACTCTCAAACAGAGAAGGAAAGTCTAGCCTTGGTATGGGCCGTAGAAAGGTTTTACTTTTATCTTACTGGACTAGAGTTTGAGCTAATAACGGACCACAAACCATTGGAGGCTATTTTTAAACCAACGTCAAGGGCACCAGCTAGAATAGAACGCTGGGTCTTAAGGCTCCAAGGATTTAAGTTTAGAGTTATATATCAGTCCGGAAAATCAAATATAGCAGACTCAGTTTCTAGACTTTGCCAATTCGAACAGACAAATACATTTGACAAAGAAAGTGATTGTCACATTTACACTATGGTGGAAAGAAGTACTCCAAAAGCTATGACTATATCAGAAATAATTGAAGAGAGCAAAAGGGATTCAGATATATTAGACGCCATTACACAAATAGAGAAAAACTCGTGGACTACCCAAAATAAAAGTGGTCTGTATCCTTTTCGACTGGAATTGTCCAACCTTGGTCCCATATTATTAAGGGGTACAAGAATCGTAATGCCGATAGCTAAACGTCTTCAAACGCTACATCTGGCCCATGAGGGCCACCCAGGGGCAAGTGTAATGAAAAGAAGACTAAGAGCCAAAGTTTGGTGGCCCCTTATGGACAAAGAGGTGGACAAATTTGTAAAAGAATGCAGAGACTGCCTTCTTGTTAGTCAACCTGAAAAACCACCTTCAATGACAAGGCACAAATTCCCGGATGGACCTTGGCAATGCGTGGCTATTGACCTAATGGGACCGTTACCAAATCAGGAACAAGTATTGGTTATAATAGATTATTATTCACGTTACCAGGACATCCAATTTATGAAGAAGACGACGTCTACAGAAATAATAAAGTGCCTAACAAAATTATTCGCTCGATTAGGAATCCCCAAGTCCATAAGATGTGACAATGGGAGACAATTTGTCAGTAGAGAATTTCAGGAATTCTGCAAAGAAAATAATATTAAATTAATTAAGACTCCTCCATATTGGCCACAAGCGAATGGTGAAGTTGAAAACATGAATAAATCTATCCTGAAAAGATTACAAATTTGCCATAATCAAAGAAGCGACTATAAAGACGAAATTCAGAAGTTCCTTTTAATGTACAATGTAACTCCCCATGGTACCACGGGGAAATCACCGTCAGAACTTTTATTTAACCGAATGATAAGAGACAAAATACCATCTATAAATGACATAATTATAGATGAAGTGGACGAAGAAGCAAAAGATAGAGACACCATAAACAAAGATAAGGGAAAAAAGAGAGAAGATGAAGCAAGAGGATCAAAA